CACAGCTTCCCTAGGTAACCTATTCCAGCACCTTTCTACCTTCATGGTGAAGAACTTCTTCCTGATGTCTAACCTAAATCTCCCCTCCATCAGTTTAAAACCATCACCCCTTGTACCATCACTGCCCTCTCTGGTGAAAAGTCTCCCCCCAGCTTTCCTGGAGCCCCTTCAGGCCCTGGAAGCTGCTCTAAGGTCTCCTTGGAGCCTTCTCTTCTCCAGGCTGAATACCCCAACTATCTCAGCCTGTCTCCAGAGCAGAGCTGCTCCAGCCCTTGCATCATCTTGGTGGCCCTTCTCTGGATCCTCTCCAACAGTTCCATGTCTCTCCTGTGCTGAGGGCTCCAGAGCTGGACCCAGCACTCCAGAGCACCAACCCAGGTGCAGGGCCCTGCACCTGGCCTTGCTGAACTCCATGAGGTTGGCATTGGCCACCTCTCCAGCCTGTCAGGGTCCCTATGGATGGATCCCTTCCTTCTGAGGTGTCAGCTACTCCACACAGCTTGGTGTAAACCTGCTGAGAAGACACTCCATCCCACTGTCCATGTCACAAACAAAGATATTGAACAGCACTGGTCCCCGTACTGACCCCTGAGGAACACCACTTGTCACCTGCCTCCACTTGGACACTGAACCATTGACCACAACTCTCTGAGTGTGGCCATCCAGCCAAGTATTGATCCACCAAGTGGTCCATTAGTCAAATCTGTGTCTTGCCAGTTTGGAGACCAGGATGTTGTGTCAGATGCTTTGCACAAATCCAGGCAGAGTACATGGTTGCTCTGCCATCAACCACCATCTCTGTAGCCTTGTCATAGAAGGCCACCAAATTGGTCAGGCATGATTTGCCCTTAGCGAAGCCATGTTGGCTGTTGCCCATCACCTCCTTATTTTCCAGGTGCCTTAGCAGAGTTTCCAGAAGGATCTGTTCCGTGATCTTGCCGGAAGATCTTGAAGGAAGGGGAAAAAGAATTGAAAAATCAGGAAAATACATAACTTGCCAAGCCAAAAAGTCTTGCCAGGCTTCACTCTGTAGAAGCATAGACGGGTGACTCGGAGCCAGTGCAGCACTGGGGAGGAACATCAGTGTAACTTCTCCAAGGGTCAGGTTGCAGGAAAGGTTGATTTAACAGCACACACCACCAGCTCCTCCACTCCAGTGAGAAAAAAAATAAAAAAGGATGGGGACTTGCTCATCTAAACACCCAGCGTACGTCAGAGGAACAAACCTGAGTAACTGCCATCCATAATTTATAAAACAAATTAAATCCATGGCAAAAATAACCACAACTTAGAACAGAGTGATTGTAGAATCTGGCAGGAAGAAGACTGCATGAATCATTATTTTCTAGAGGAAACCTTACATAATCCAAGCTACTCTTTTGTAAAACAAACAAAACCTTCTGAAAACTCCAATTAGTTGGTTTCACAACTCTCTGTGTTTAATTCAGGTACGTCGGTGATTTGCTAAGATAAAAGATCCTACGTGGGTACCAGCCAACTGTACAGAATACTGAAGAGTTTCCACGCTGCTTTCAGCATCTCCAAAAATATCCATCGGAAGGGAAAGGAGATGAAGGCATCTACCTGAGGCCGGAGGAAGGCGATTAGATTGCAATGCCACCTTGTGGAGTAGGAAAAAATGAAAGACGAGGAAAAAAAACACTCAGCCACCACTTTGCGGTTGTGTCTTATGTTACAGGGCACAGACATCGGCCCAGCAGGTAGTTTGGTGGTTTGTTCTCATTTCCCTCTGTAAGATTAGAGGGAGACACGCAGTGATACCTGCAGAAACATGTTCTGCTTTTCTCATGGTGCTCAGAAGGCGATGAACAAGTCTGTCAGAAAAAAGAGTTTGGTCCTTTTTGCTTGTTTTTACTATGACAAAGTTACAATCTTCTGTGCTGCTGCCCCAGGAAAGCAGCCCTTCTCCTCAGCTATGGGAAAGCCACCACCAAGAGTGACTTGGGTAGGACCAGGAGCAGCACAATGCCAATCCCCCAGACTCCAACCTGACACACTGTATGATCCTATGACCCCCTGCCCAATTCATGGTCTGGTTCAGCAAGACCTGAAGAACATTTCTGACTTGGTGCATCACACAGCTCGGCTGCAACTGCTTCTGCATATGTTGCATCTGGTACTTGGGCTCCCAACTGTGTCCTGTGTCACTGAAATCCCCAGATCTCCTTCAGATGCAAACACTTCAGAATGCTCTTATCACAAATAAAGCCTGTTTAACCATCCAGTCTGCAGGGAGCTGCCTACTTACCTCTTTGGGTAACAAAAAAACCAATCTACAAGACTCAAGGATGGGAGGAAAGTTACCAAAAAGCACCACCCAGGTAAGGCAGGATGCAGCTGTAGAAAACGACACTTTCTCCTCTCCAAGATTCTTTGCAGACTCCTGACTTAACACTAAGTGCTTGAGCCTGATGAAGAACAGAAATAAAACCAACCCACAGAGCTGCACATGGTGTTGAGCAGCCGGGACCCTCACAAAACCTGCACCTGAAATGGGCTGTACCCTGAGGCTGTGCAGGTGCTGGTGAAGCCTGGGGATGGCAGCAAAGGTGCTGGCAGGATCTCAGCTCCCACTGCCACCAACCAGGCACAGGACCTTTGCTCAGGATGAGGGCCAAGGGACGAGCAGATGCTGGAGCCCATCCAGGCAAGAGAGGATTAAAACCCACACAGTTTGAGTCTGACAGCAACACAGCAGCACTCTTGTCAGGGCAGTTTCCTTTACATCATTTCCTTTTTTTTTTTTTTCCCCCCCAAGATTGGAAATCTTGAATATTTTGGGAAAACACAGATTGTTATTTTTTTTTTACCAATTCAGAGTGGAATGGATGTGCTCACAGGTAGACTGTTGCTACCCAGGAAAAAAACAAATATTGAAGGAATCAGTCAATAAGGTGTGGGCTGTTCCAACTCAGGAATTAGTTTGGGGCAAATTTGTTTTTCCCTTCAGCATCTCAACCTTTATTATACTTTCTCATCCTCTATTTAACTGCAGTTCTTAAGAAGACATCCTGAGGGTTAAAGTTACCAATCAAAAAGTCAGTGAGAAACAGGTGCTGAGTGTTGCTCTGCACAAAAACCCCCTAAAGGTATGGAAAACTGGAGAAAGTGGGGAAAGACAAACCCAAGAGAACCAGGGGCAAATCTGAGAAGGCAGGACTGTGCAA